TTTTTTAATGATGAATTATCTTGATATTTTCTTATACGAGATAAATGTGAAGCAAACTATATCGAAGTAAGCAGAACAGGTCAATTTAATTTGCGATTCTTAGCATTCAACCCAGGGATTGAGCATCATGCATTATGAGAAGAGTCCTAGCATGTAGTGGCATCAGTTGGTAACCAAGGTGGAGTCCAACTTGGAAGATTAGTTACGCCAATGTGATGCATGCATGGGATAATTATTATCAAACTCGTGGCTGCCAAATGAAGTGGATAAAGCCTGATTTGCCTAGGCTTTGGAAATGGACAGAACGACAATGCTTATCTTTAGCAAAGATGGAATTGGCATGCCATCATTAGTTACGTGGTTTGGTTGAAAAGTGTGGTTAGCACCAAAGACGTCGAGTGCGATGACTCTTATTGGATAATCATCTTTGCATAACGATTATTATTTGTTGTTATTGATGGTCACGGCTGGATTTTGCGCTAAGTGAATGCTATAAATACAAGGTGCGTTGCAACAAGCAGAGATCCTTCCAATTCAACATACAACTGCCCTGCGCAAACTCTCTCAACAACTTTGATATTTTTATTTTCTCTTTTCGCTGACACATCTTCCGTTGGCATCAACAGCACTGTGAAAGTAACCGGTGACATCTTCAGTCAGCATAGATAGCTCTATTGCTGTAGAATTAGCCGATCTCGCAGTATCTTCCGTTGGCATCATCAGCACTGCGGCGAGGACGGTTGGTTACCTATCCAAGTCTCGGTCAAGAAGGATTTCTGAATCCTTATTAATTGAGGTCATCTCGTTAGCCTTCTCGGCGAAGCGAGGTGTTACAGCCTACTGAGCTCGGCGCATTGCACGCCGAGTTATTTTATGATTGGATACTCTCAAGTATGATTCAGAGTTCGGCATTCAGACAGCCGAACCACGTTCGTTATTAAGACTCATATCTGCTTTGAGTATTTGTGCCCTTACACTTTGGTGTCGATTCGGCGTGAGTTTACTTTGACGAATACCATCAATGTGACCGAATTCAACGACGACGATTCGTGAACTTCATAAGAATAGTAGCCTTGTCTTCAGGTTCGAGAACCCAAGAGGCCGAGATGTGTTCCTTCCTCGATCACAATCGCGAGACTCAGAAGTCAACCGCGCACCCAACGCAACATCAACAAATTCACTCCTCGGCCGAGCTCGGCCGACGAGTTGGCACGCCCTGCATTCATCGAAGGACATAGTTAGCTTATAGATTACTCGGCCTGCGCGCCACGTAGGCTTGGTAGTTTTTTTGGGTCAACAGAAGGTCAACAAAAACTTTAACACACACTACAACATGTAGATTGCCTTCCACACTCTTGCTCAAAAGTATGGAAGCAAAATCAACTTATGAGGTTCTATATAGAGATTCCCACACCCAAGGGAGAGAGCTTTCCAAACCCTTGAAGGGAAAGAGCTTATCACACCCTTGAAGGAGAGAGCTTCCCACACCCTTGAAGGAGAGAGCTTCCCACACCCTTGAAGGGAAAGAGCTTCCCACACCCAAAGGAGAGCTTCCCACACCCAAAGGAGAGAGCTTCCCACACCCAAGGTTATGAGCTTCCCACACCCTTGAAGGGAGAAAGCTTCCCACACCCTTGAAGGGAAAAAGCCTTCACACACTTTGAGAGAGGAAACCTCCCACACCTTGAAAGGAGGAAGCTTCACACTTTACCTAACAACAAAAATCCAAAAAGCCTTCCACACTCTTGAGCGCAAAATCTATTTATGTGCTCCAAAAATGTTCAACTGAAAGCTTCAACAACAAAAATCCAAAAAACCTTCCACACTCTTGCTCAAGAATATGGAAGCAAAATCTATTTATGTGTTCCAAAAAACTTCAACCGAAAGCTTCAACAACAAAATTCCAAAAAGCCTTCCACACTCTCAAGAGTGTGGAAGCAAAATCTATTTATAAGCTTCAAAAAAAAAAAAAAAAAAAGATCAACCGAAGGCTTCAACAAAAATTTCAAAAAGCTTTCCCCACTCTTGCTCAAGAGTGTGGAAGCAAAACCTATTTACATAGTCTCTCCCACATTAAATCACTCAAAGTACAAGTTATACACATGAAGAAGCAAAAAGCTACAACCATTAACCTTCACCTAGTACACTGTAAAGCATAAACTTTTACATAAGAAATCATTTTTAAACCCTCCCAAGTCCTGAAACCAACCAAGCTACACTCCATTTAATCCTAAGACAATATAAACTCGAATACACAAGTATTCAACAGAATACAAACCATATAGCAAAAACAGAATACAAAAACAGGGTACAATATTATACAAAAGTAGCAAATTAAGCAAAAATTCGAAGAACATAGTCTCAACCTTTCACTCATTTAGCTACCAATCAAGAGGTTTCAAGTCATATGGGTCCAAGGAAAAATCTCAGTCCTTAGAAGCAATAAATTCAAAACACGGAAACATCAAAATCAATAAATTTAAAACACGGTCCAAGGATTAATTGTGCCCCTTTTACTACACTTTGCGCCTCCACAACATTATACACCTTTGGAACTTAACGAAATCAAGGCTTTGAAATAAAAAAATTTGAGCTTTAGCTGGTCCCACTCTATCTTCAAACCCCAACTGCAGACCCTTGTTCTCAACTTCACCTCTGACAATCTCAATTAAAAGCCCAGACACACCTCTACAAACCAACACACTTATACCACTACCTCTCTCCCCTCATTCACCACTACGACCCTGTCGTGCCTCTGCGCAAGCCCATCTCTGCAACAAACAGCTCTAGACCCACAAAATTACCCAGAAAACGAACACATCACAAATTCAAACACTAACCTTCAAACTTTCCCAGCCGCATTATTGCACACAAGCTCCACCCTTAAACCCTTAGCCCACTTGTGAACCCATCACTAACCCTCATGTGAGTTCGCAGTAGCCTACGATACCACCTGAAGGTCCACCGCAGACCTCTGAACAGAACAGGATGGCCTAGTCGTGGGGGCAAGGTCGAAAAGGGTGGAGGACCAGGTTGAGGGCAATCGAAGGGACGTTGAGTGGGTGAAGTCAAAAGGGTTGGGGACAACGTGTTTAGAAGGCACAGCCTTGAGCTTGTTTTCTGGAAAGGCTAAGGGAAATGGGGAAGAAGGCAAGAATGGAAGGGTAGGGTTTCAAAAAAAGGATAAGCCTCAGGCCGGTTTTAAACAAAAGTTAGGCCACTCTTCGCTGGGCCTCAAAATTTAGGCTGCCAGCTCATCATAAAAAAAAATTAAAAAAAATTAAAAAAAAAAAGAAAAAAAAAAAAGAAAGGTTGCCAACAAAGAAAATGGGTGTAGGCCTCCTCTCCTACTTGGGCTTGGCAACTAAACAAAAAAAACAAAAAAAAAATTGGTGTGGGCCTCCTCTTCTTTGGGCCTAACAACCTTCATTAAAAAAAAACATATGAGAAGGGGTTTTGGGCAGCCACTTAGTAAAGAAAAGGGCGAAACTTTGTTATTTTGACAACTTGGACTAGCAAGACACCTCATTAGGTAACTTTCCTCACCCCGAAGACTTTTGGGGACTCCTACTATATGCTACTACACCTTGGTATTCAGAAGTTTCGTGATTACTCAATGACTTGGATTTGTCAAGTCCCTAACGAGAAGCTTTCCTCACTCGGGAACTTAGGGGAGCATTGTTTGTACCATACTTGATCAATTCCGAAACTACAGAGCATCAGTCAAAGTCATACCTTTAAGGACCCTCTGAGCAGTTTATGTTGAGGTGCCCCTGCCAAAGCAAAAGAGTTTCCCTCTAACCAGGAGGCCAGTAACAGCTCAACACATGTCAACGTCAGAATAAAGCTCATAGAGTCCCACATTGACCGTGGACAAAAGCTAAAGACTCTCCTCAACTATAAAAGGAGACCATTCTCCTACAATTAATCCCTAATGTCATTATTGTACTTAAACTAGCCATTAGAACTCACTAATGATGATTATGCTTGAACCTATGTATTTGTGTAAACCCTTCACTATTAATGAGAACTCCTCTACTTCATGGACGTAGCCAAACTTAGGGTGAACAACATACATCTTGTGTTTGCTTCCCTATCTCTATCTCTTTACATATTTATCCTCACCAATAACCGGAGCAACCGAGCGAAGGTCACAAACTTGACACTTTTACGTTGTTCCAAAGTCTTCACTGATCTTGTGCATCAACAAGTGTCCTTCCAAATTAGTCTCAACCTTTTTAAACATTGTAAATAAGTACCCAACCTATTAAAAATATCACATCCGTTAGTTTTTCAAACATAGATTATGTTCAAAATCCATCGATTGTGAATTTCTGGTCAACATTAATAGTAGTTGCCTCAAAATTCAAAATTTGAATTTCAAACATAGATTATGTAATATGAAACCCAATAAACAAATGAATATTGAATTGAATCGAAAATGGACCCAAATTGAAATTATATTAGGAGGGAAATTCTTAACAAAGGTGAGGGTTTAGAATTCAAATAAGATTTCAATGAGTTTGTTTCTGCTCACGTGATTTACTCGTAAAGCTTCCAGTTCTTCTTTGTGGGCGGTGAAGATGGTGGTGGCCGCATCATGACAGTTCATATATACAAGTTGGCAGCTCGATGTTGTAGGGTGGAAGCTATGCTTCCCTGACCTTCTTCTCGATGTTGACGGCTCAAGTTGTAGGGTGGTATGCTACCATGACCTTCTATTAATTTTGGAGACAAAGCAAAGCCTTAGTTAATTTAAAAGATTTTTAAATGAGGCTTAACGGATGACATTTTCAATAGGTTGAATACTTGTTTGGAATGTTTAAAAAGGTTGAAACTAATTTGGAATGATACTAAAAAGTTGGGGGGTTTTAGGTACTTAATCCTATAAGTTTGAATTTATATACTTAGTTAAGGTACATGTATTTACTTCACACGCTCACCTTCTAATAGTCAAATATGTAATAAAAATAGGCAATGTCAATGTCATATATGACTATATTCGGCCGTTAGATGATGAATGTTAAGCAAATATTTATTTACTATAACCAGTTTCCGAATTCACCTCATTCAAAGAGAAAAACTGAATTTGAATTCACTTAACAAAGACTCAAACTGGTAATTTAAAGCAACGTAACAGATGTATTAAGACAAGAAAGCATTACTTCATATCAATCAACATACATATGCATGTGGTCCAACATTTTAATGGGTAAAGTGTTGAGTTTCTATCCTCGAAACTCTCGTCCTATATTATTGTAATAGTAAAAAAGTTTAATAAAATATATATATACGACTTTTCTACGCACCTCAGCTAGTTTTCTCTCTATGGTAATACACATAAAATCCACTTCTCTCATCATCCAATATCTAATTAATCCATGAATTAATTAATTAATCATATAATTTTCTGGACGTGCTTGGCCAGCGATGCAAGTGCAACGTCCACGGCGTCCCCAAACCCAAGATTAGTCGCATTCGGATGCGCGTAAGTCAGACTTGGGATCAATTCTATAAGCTTTTCTCGCATCGCCGTCACCTTTTCTTTCGGAATCTTCAGCAGCTCCTCGTTGATTCTCTTACTCGCGTCGCTCTTCTCATCAATGTAAATCGAATACGTGCTCTCGTCACCAAGTAAAAACCACTTGTACTGAGTGTACGCCGTGTGCGACGACGAGAAAACCGGTATGCAGCAGGCGAGCACCGAGTTAAACGTCGACCGCCGGGTGAACGAGTCACCGGGCGCTTGTAAGCAGAACTGCGACTCGGACATCACCTTTAGCACCTCGCTGGGCTCGTGGCACTTGCCAGCCCCAGACCCACATTTTAAAAGCATGCAGCGGGTCGACTCACCGCATTGCCTTAAGAACTCGTCCCGAGCGGACGCTTTTTCTAACCCCTTTCTAGGCCCACCGATGAAAGAAAATAAGTAGGGTCGGTCCATTCCCCTCACTCTGTTCTGCCACGCCACTATCTCCTACCAAGTGGACGGGTGGAAATAAGAAGGGTAGGGCAAGCCGTGTTGGTTTGACCCTTTCCAAGGATGCCTCTCCACGGTCATTAACGGCTGGTAGGTTGAGGAGGGAGTTGGCTCCGAAATAAGGACCATCGGTGACCCTCATGAAATCCCACGCGGTCCTCCCAAGGGCGATAAAATGGTCCCTACCGTTGTGCTTCTTCTACCAAGGCTGGGACTGAACGTAGTCGACCAAGTCAAAGGCGACCTCGTCGCGAGCGGTGAGGTTGGCTTCCTTGAACTTGCTGGAGGCGTGGAGGCCGCCGTATTAAGGAACGTAGAAGATAGCGGCACGTGTTGGATCAAGAGTGCGGCAGGCGTGATTCTCCACTCGTACGTGGAAGATCATCTTGGCAATGAGCTGATGGGTGGCGAACCACGAGGCGGCGAAGCCTAATTTGGGATGCGGCTGGCCGAGGCCGTTGTTCGCCACATGGGGACACATGTTGGTATAAAGGTTTAGAGCGTGATAATGGCTCAGCAATCCAAGGTTGAACTTGGCCGGCAAAGGGTATACATAGACGGACAGGCTTGGGTCGCACGTGGGAACTTTGAATGGGGATTTAGAGGTACTGGTGGTGTCGACGGTGGCGGTATTGGAGTATAAATGTATTTGTTGTGATAGTTACATTATAAGCAATGTGTAGGATTTAATGTGAACCGTTGGATCATATTCCAATTGGTATTTAGTTTAGAGTGTAATGAGTCATAGCTCATGACAAGTGTAAGCATCTTACATGATGGCTTAAGAATGAATAGTTGTGATTGCTTTGTAATAGAATGAGTGAAATTGTTCACACTCCTATAAATGTCATATAAGCTGTAAAAGGTTTTTAATGAAAAAAGAAGAAGAGATGGAATCAACATAGTACTAAGAAACATTTCTCTCATTCTTCTTCGATGTATTTTCACTGAGCTTTTAAAACTTCCATTGAAACTTACACAGAAACCAAACTCTAATATGGCATCAGAGCCAGGTTGGATCTCAATCTGGGCGTGAATCTGTGACAAGGTTCGCAGCTGAGGAATTCAACAGAGAATCGAGTTTGCTTCGATTGAAGAACGATCTGAAAATCTCTGGGTAACTCGATAACAAGTCTAATATGGCTGGATCGAGTGGTGTTGATCTTCGAGCACCGATTTTTAATGGAGAAAATTTTGATTTTTGTGGGATATGGATCACACTGGTTCACAAGTGTATGATCATACTCCTTTAAGGTTCAGAAGCTTGAATGATATCTATGAAATGTGCAATTTCTATGTAATAGAGCCTGAATTTTTTGAAGAAGCATCAGGAGATGAAGCTTGGAGAAAAGCTATGTCCACAGAGATTGAGATGATCGAAAAGAATGACACATGGGAGTTAGTCAAAAGGCCATTTGATAAACCTGTAATTGGTGTAAAATGGGTCTACAAAACAAAGCTTAATCTAGATGGTTCAGTGCAGAAGAACAAGGCACGGCTAGTGGCTAAGGGCTATTCTTAAAAGCCTGGAGTGGACTTCAACGAGACCTTTGCACTTGTGGCAAGACTTGATACCATTAGAACTCTAATTGCATTGGCAGCTCAAAAGGAATGGAAATTGCTTCAATTAGATGTTAAGTCTCCATTCCTAAATGGTACACTGCATGAGGAAGTATATATGGATCAACCACAGGGATTTGAAGTTCAAGGACAAGAAGACAAGGTTTACAAGTTGAAAAAGGCCTTATATGGTCTGAAACAACCTCCCAGAGCTTGGTACGATGAGATAGACAATTATTTCAATCGATCTGGTTTTAAGAAAAGCCAAAGTGAAGCTAATCTGTATACAAAGTTCAGTGATGCAGGTGTGCTTATTGTATCTCTGTATGTAGATGACATTATCTATACAGGGAATTCTGATGAAATGATTCAAGAATTTAAGAAGGATATGATGAAGCAATATGAGATGTCAGATCTGGGACTGTTACATCACTTTCTTGGTATGGGCATAATTCAAACTGATAAGAGCATATTTATTCATCAGAAGAAATATGCCAAGTCACTACTTGAGAAATTTGGATTGAAAGATTGTAAAGCTGTGAAAACCCCACTTGCAATTGATGACAAGTTATCTAAGGAAGATGGGAGTGATGATGCTAATGAAAGTTTGTACAGGACAATAATTGGTAATCTGTTATACCTGACAGCTACTAGACCCGATCTAATGTATGCATCATGTTTGCTGGCAAGGTTCATGAATAAACCTACCAGAAAACACATGGGGACAGCTAAAAGAGTCTTGAGATATGTACAAGGCACATTGGATTTTGGGATTGAATATGTGAAAGGAAAAGTTGCTGTATTGATAGGCTATTGTGATAGTGATTGGGCAGGAAGCTTGGATGACATGAAGAGTACCTTGGGTTATGCATTTAGTTTAGGTTCAGGAATGTTTTCTTGGGCTTCTGTTAAACAATGCAGTGTGGCTTTATCTACTGCAGAAGCCGAGTATGTAAGTGTTGCAGAAGCTACAACACAAGCAATGTGGTTGAGGTTTGTTTTATCTGATTTTGGAGAAGAACAGGTGGAGGCTACGCCTTTTCTATGTGACAATACTTCTGCCATAGCTATGTCTAAGAATCCAGTGTTTCATCATAAAACCAGGCATATTAATCGGAGGTATCATTTCATAAGAGATGCCATTCAAGATGGGACAATTGAACTACACTATTGCAGCACAGAGGAGCAATTGGCAGACATCTTTACCAAGGCTCTTCCTAATGATCGATTCAAATACTTGAGAACTACTCTTGGTGTGAAATCAGCAAAACATTTAGAAGGGAGTATTGGAGTATAAATGTATTTGCTGTGATAGTTACATTATAAGCAATGTGTAAGATTTAATGTGAACCGTTAGATCATATTCCAATTGGTATTTAGTTTAAAGTGTAATGAGTCATAGCTCATGACAAGTGTAAGCATCTTACATGATGGCTTAGGGATGAATGGTTGTGATTGCTTTGTAATAGAGTGAGTGAAATTGTTCTCACTCCTCTAAATGTCATATAAGCTATAAAAGGTTTTTAATGAAAAAAGAAGAAGAGATGGAATCAACACAGTACTAAGAAACATTTCTCTCATTCTTCTTCGGTGTATTTTCACTGAGCTTTTAAAACTTCCATTGAAACTTACATAGAAACCAAACTCTAATAGGCAGCAGTACTAATATTGATATTATTGGGATTTCGGCTTGTGCGGATGAGAAGATGGTGGACATTTTGTTGCTGCTGTGGTTTTTGGACAAGATCAACACCAACCTCAGCAGTGCGTTTGGTTTTGGGAGGGAACCAAAGGAGGAGGACAAGAAGCCAAAGAGAGAGAAGGACAAAAACCAAGGCACCAAATCGGAGGTAGGGATTGTTAAAGTGGGTGTCTTTGTTTTTGGAGTAATCGTAGTGTTTTTCTTTCTCGTCATCAGTCCATGGAGGACTCGGAGGACTCGGAGGACTTTGCTTTCTAGGAAACATGGCCGGGAACAAGAACAAGAAGACAACGACTTGGAATTAATGTTAGAAGAGAGAGAGAGAGAGAGAGAGAGAGAGAGAGAGAGAGAGAGAGAGAGAGAATTGGTTTAATGGTGGTGTGAATTGAAGCAGTGACAGAAAAGACTTGGTTTGATTTGGTGCCCTCTTTTTCCAAATCTCTAATAGCTCTAAGCTTAAATCATTCTCCTCCAACTTGGCTCTCACTCCAAAATAAATTAACCAAACAATGAATAGAGAGATGAACAATAACAGGTTTTCTTTTCAATTCCAAATCTCTAATAGCTTAATCCTTAACAAATCATCCTCCTCCATTTTTGGCTCTGACTCCAAAGCAAACCAAACAATGAATAGAAAGATGAACAATAACATGTTTTATACCCATTTCTAATTCTTTAATAGCTTAATTTTTAACAAATCATTCTCCTCCATTTTTGGCCCTCACTCCAAAGCAAACAAACAATGAATAGAAAGATGGACAATAATAGGTTTTGTACCCATTTTCAAATCTCTAATAGCTTTAAACCTTAACAAATCATTCTCCTTCAACTTGGCTCTCACCCCAAAGCAATCCAAACAATGAATAGAAAAAATAAAAATAACAGGTTTTGTACCTTAGTCCAAATCTCTAATAACTTTAAGTCGTAACAAATCATTCTCCTCCAACTTGGCTCTGGAGTAAACCAAACAATGAATAGAGAGATGAACAATAACATGTTTTGTACCCAATACCAAATCTTTAATAGCTTTAGTCCTTAATGAATGATTCTCCTCCAACTTGGCTCTCGCTCTAAAGCAAACCAAAAAATGAATAGATAGATGAACAGTAACAGGTTGTGTACCCAATAACTCAATTTTAATGACAATCAAACTAATTTATTTATTTTTTCTATTTAGATATGGTTGGAAGCAAATAATCAAAGATATTCGACAAGCATTGCCTTGAGGGGTAGCATTTCCCATTTTGGTACCGTAACATCAAGATTCTCTTTAGACTAGAGAAGATTGCTTACGTACTAGAGAAGGCTCCACGTCACATAGCTCATGGCACTGACGCCACTAAGAATGAGCGTGCTAAGTTTGACAAGAATGTTGAGGATGACATATAGGCCAAGTGGTATCTGGTAGCTTCCATGAATGTGAGCTACAAGGACATCATGAGGACGTGGACCATGCAAGCTCGATCATACTCCATCTTATGAAGTTATATGGTGAAATGACGCACAACCGTCGCTTTAGCACTGTCTGTGAACTTATCAAGACTAAAATGGTTAAAGGAGTCCCAATGCATCAACATGTACTGAAGATGATTGAATTCATTGAGCAATTAGAGAACTTAGGTACTCCTCTTGACGGGGAATTGGCCCAAGACTTCCTTTTGGCTTCTCAATCTGATTTGTTCTCACAGTTCGTCATGAACTACAACATGAACAGGATGGATAGTACTCTC